CGGGCAGTTTGCAACCTGCTTTTTTTTTTTTTTTTTTTTTTTTTTGTTATATTTGGGTGTTTCCTGAGGTCCAGCTGTTTAGCAACAATAGGTGGGGTTGTTCTTGGCCTAAAGTTACCTGCTGATAAATCTCATTTCCCTCCCCAAAGGTCAAGAACGAGGTTGAGAAGCTGCCACGGCAACAGCGGAAAGGGAACATGAAGGTGAAGATGGATGACTTTGCCCAGAAAAAACAAACCATGGTAAGGCTGAGAGAAGATTGCCACAACTCCAAGTTCGGGAAGTGCGTAGTAGACAGAAGCATGGCCCCTGAGGGACTGTCAGTTTCTACAACACCACCAGATGCTTTTCAAGTTGCAGCAGGAGGGCTCATGATGGCACTGCTGTTTTCTTCCAGGAACAGGAGTTTTTGGCCAAGCAGAAGGAGGACCTGGAGCTAGCCATGAAGAATATAACTGCCCAGAACAAAAAAGAGATCTGCGACAAGGAACGCGAGTGCCTGAACAAAAAACAGCAGCTCATGAGAGGTGGGTGGCAAAGGCTGTAAAGGAGGAAAGCAAATGCTATAACGATGGGTTTATCCAACACTGGCTCTTCCCACGCAACAGATGCTGTGACAGAGTTGCGAGCTGGCAGGATAGGATTTAGAAAAAACAGCCTTGCCAGATCCTGTCTAAATGTTTAACAATAATAATACTTAGCACTTTAATCTTCAAAGCACTTTACAAATATGAACCAATTAGGCTTCATAATTGCAAGAAATGATTCTCCAATATGGTTTGCAACCAATTTCTCTTGGAAAACAGGAGGTGAACAGTCCCCCCCCTCAACACCTGCTGCACTGCTCCTGCATGTAGGGATCCCTCATGCTTGGGACGCTTTGTGTGACCAATCTGGGGGGGCCAGGGTGGGTTGTCTCCTGACCTTTCTCCCTTCCTCAGACCGGGAGGCATGCATCTGGGATCTTGAAGAGCATCAGCAACAGGAGAAACACCAGCTTGTCAAGCAGCAGCTAAAGGACCAGTATTTCCTCCAGAGGCACGAGTTGCTCCGGAAGCATGAGAAGGTGAAGAGTTAGCACCTTCCTGTGCTGGTGCTGGTTGGCAGGGTGCTTGGGTGTCCCCAAAAGGGATGTTTCCCTTCCAGGCTTAAGTGGGTAAGGGTGGCTTAGGAGTTAAGGGACTTGGTCATTATCAGTGAGAGGGGACCAGAGTAATGCTCAGGTCAGCCTTCTTGCTTGGGACGTGTATTCTATGCTGTGTGCATTTAATGTAGAAGAAGCAGTTGTGAACTTGGGGCGCTTTTCTGTAGATCTGTCACTGTCCAGTATGTGGGATGGTGGATTCCCAGAGCAGTGAGTGAAGACTGTCATGTCTCACGGTTGTTTCTGCTTCCTTCCAGTCCCCTTCTCCTCCGCTTTCACAGCATGTTCAGTAGCTGCCCTCACTTCTTGTCCCCTTGGAGCTGTCTGTCACCAGCCACCCCCATGCAATTCCCAAATCTGCTCTCCAGCTCTCTTTGGTCTCGTTAGCACTTTGTCGTTGGCCTGAGGTGTCCCTCCTCCTCTGATACCTGTCCTCTGGCATTGCAGGAAAGGGAGCAAATGCAGCGATACAACCAGCGCATGTTAGAGCAGCTGAAAATTCGGCAGCAGCAGGAGAAAGCCCGGCTCCCCAAAATCCAGCGGAGCGAAGGGAAGACACGCATGGCCATGTACAAGAAGAGCCTCCACATCCACTCCAGTGGGAGTGCATCCGAGCAGCGGGAGAAGATAAAACAGGTCAGGTCTTGCAAAGGGCACCAGGGTTGAGGCTTGGCTTGGGGTTGCAGTACTCCACTGGCCTAATGGCAGAAGGGAAGTCAGAAATAGGCAGCTTTTCCCAAATTTCAAACCTACTGCAGAGAGTCAGAGGTCTCTTGCTTTTGTGGCATCAGTTGTGGTTTTCAGTGCTGCTTCCATTGTGACTAGTGTTGGGAAGCGTCCTCAGGGCTCTTCTTTCTTTCCTATATAATAGTGCACGCTGGCCAGTCTCTTCTTAACCAGCTTCAGACATCAGAGCAACGCTGCCTACATGGGCACCTGCTTTTCTCTCTTCCAGTTTGCTCAGCAGGAAGAGAAGAGGCAAAAAGCAGAGCGGCTGCACCAGCAGCAGAAGCATGAGACACAGATGAAGGACATGCAGGCCCAGTGCGAGAGCAACACAAACGAGCTCCAGCAGCTGCAGGTACCTGTCCCTCCTGGCTTGGTCTCTCGGAGCTGCCTGTGAACTGTTTTGGCTCCAGCGCAGGGAGTGGGTCATAAGAAGTAGCTGCTGAGGACTGTCAGTGAACTAGACCTCATGTTCTCTTGCTCTGCCTTGAGAGGTTTCTGTGGCCATGTCTAAATGTGCCCTAGAGCTCAGAGCTCTGAATGCCTCTGGCTGATGCAAGTCCTATTTGACCGCTGGATTTACAGTCCCAGCTGCTTAATGGGTGTTCTGTCTTGTGATCTGTGTTTAGAATGAAAAGTGTCACCTCTTGATTGAGCACGAAACCCAGAAGCTTAAGTCCCTGGATGAGAACCACAACCAGCACATGAAGGAGTGGCGAGATAAGCTGAGGCCACGGAAGAAGGTAGTGCCTCCTCCGTGTGAGCAGGGTGTTCTGCTTGGCTGGTTGGAGGGGACAGTGTTCATATCTCCAGTACAATCTCAAATACAGCTCTTGTGTGTGTTCCCTTCTGCTTAAGGCCCTGGAGGATGAGCTGAACCAGAAGAAGCGTGAGCAGGAGATGTTCTTCAAGCTGAGCGAGGAGGCAGATGGACAGATGCCAGCATCCCCAACCAAACACGCCAAGTTCGTCCCGTTCAGTTCTGCAGAGAGCTCATAACGCCTCGCAGCTGGCAGGCCACCAGCTGGTACTTGCTGTGTCCTCCTGGGCTGCAGGTGGGCAACTTGGACCTGGAAGATCCTCTCGGCAAGCCTCTTCTTGCAACAGCACCCTCCTGTCCCTTCACTCTGTCTGGGATAAACATGGCCTCTGTCCTGCACTGAGGGACACTGACTGGAAGTTTTGGGTGGCTTTTCCAGGTGCTGGGCTGCTCAGCACAGCTCCAGGCTGGGAAGCCGGGCAGGACCCTTTCTGTGATGGTGCACTGTTAGCTGGATGTGTTGCCTCTCACGTGAGCCTGGTGCTCACTGGGCTTGTCAGCTCAGACTGAAGCAGTAACTGCTCTGAACAAGAGAAATAGGTGATGGCTTTTGCCCTCTGCGCAGGAATTTTCAGCCTCTCTTTCCAATGTGACTGCTCCTCCTCCTGGTCCTCTCTAAGGACTAGTCTAGGGCAGAGCAGCTTTGGCATTGTCCTTGTGGCCTCCCAATACTTGCCTTAAATGTATTTCTATCTACTGTGGTCCTTTTTTGCTCAAGGGAGAGACACTGATGTGGATTTTTTTTGTCTTTGAGGAGGGAGGGTTGGGTTTTTCTTTCCTCTTCGTCCCCCTATGAACTGTGCAGAAAGGGGACGTACTTCCAAAGATGCTTCTGCTTCTTCATTTGCTGTGATTGCTGTCACCACAGTCCCTCTGGCACTTAGCTAACACTGTCTTAACAGAGACTATGGCATAATTAAGCTGTTCAGCTGGCTGCAGGCTTTTTTCTCTTAAAGAAGTGTATGTGTGCTTGCAGAGGAGGAGGTTTGTAACAGTGCTTGGTCCTGAGGTGACACAGTGAGGTATTGGTCAGTCACGTGCCTTCTGCTAAAGACAAGTGAAGGGCTGAAGGGTGTCATTGCCAGAGCCCTCATGATCACACATGTGCTTGAGTTTGTTGTTTGGGTTTTTTTTTTTTGAAGTGCTCTATATGTGTGGGTCGTGTGGGTCAGCCAGCCTGACCACTCTGCAGTCAGGATTGTGGGGTGCAAAGATTTAGAAGGAATAAAGGAGTCTTGAAACAAGGGATGCAAGGGAAGAGGAGATGCAAAGACAGGTCACGGTAGCTTGTTACTCTCAGCATTGCTTTCTCCACTGATGTCCCATCTCCTTATGATTTGCCACAGTTTCTTGGATGTTTCTCCTGGCTTTCAGCTTGGAGTCACACTGCAGAGCAGCAGAGCAGTGGCACGTCCAGCCCTCTGTTCTTTCTGCTCCGTGGTGATGCATCTCGGTTGGGCAGCCTTCCTCCACCTGCCCAAGGCAGTGCTTGGCTGGGCTGCTTGGTAGGACCCAGAGCACAGACCTGGGTAGGGGGACAGAGACCTCACTGGACAGCACCTTCTTTACTCAACTGAAAGGTGTAAGGTAGCACTTAAGTTTTTTGACTCTGATCTCTGGACAACATTGTTTGCTTTAGGCCTGTGTCCCTAGCAAGAAAAAATGTTTCTGCTTTAAAGCAAAGAGTTGTTTTAAAGTCTCATATGTTGATTTAGAGATATACTGGCATTTCAGAAAAAGGTGGTATGTGATGTGCTACACTTCTAGGTACCTAGCTGAAAGAGTCAGACCCCAGATCTTTAACACCTCTCTATCTGAGATAAAGTACATTATTTACTACCCATTTACAGCCCATAATACATATTTATAAGCTTTCTGCAAACTAGCAAGACTACATCCATTTGGGCCATTCCAAGTTTCTTCTGAATCCCCACCATTAATGTCGCTATTAATAAACATAGCCTAGATGGACGTCTAAGGGCTGGGACCCTTTGCCAGCAGACCGCATAGCAGCATTTCAGTAACTAGCCTCTTCTAGGAAGACTGCCTGTCCCATCTCCAAAAGCATCGACTGTGCCTTTCAGATACAACAGTGCCAAGCTGGGAGCTGATGTAAATTCAAGGAATGCAGAGGGTTATTCCTGAACCAGGATAAATGTGCTGGTTTGAGCCTTTTAATTGCATTGGAAGTGTGTTTTAGCAGCCCCAGTGGTTTTGTTTCTGGTCACACTCTGGGGTCAGGCCAGAGCTATTCTATGAAATGGTTGTTGTTGTCGCAGAAATCAGTACCTGGTGCCTGTTCTTCATGTGTTGTTACATGTGACTTGCAGAAGGATGTGCTGCCGCAGGGCTGTTGGTAACAGACCTCCTCCAGCTGAAGGGCACTGCTGCCTTCACCAGCCCAGGGAGTGTCAGCTCTCTCTAGATACTGTGCAGCCATGAGGAAGGAAACTATTTCTGGAGGCTTTTCAAGAGCTGGTGTGATGCCCCCATGGTAAATCAGTTGGTTAATCGGTTGTCCCTTTCTCCAGTCCAGCTTATTTGCAGCCTGGAGCTAGCAACGTAGTTTTGCTTTGGCTAACAGAGGGTGGGAATGGTTTTGTGCCCTGCCCCTGCCTTATTCTCTCTTCCCTCTCTGGATGTGCCAGGGCTCTAGTAACCATGTCCCTCTCCTAGAAGAGGGCAGGGAAGCACATCTTCTGATCGTCAAGTTTACAGGGTGTTTTCTTCCCCCCTTCAAAAGAGGATGTTTTTGTTGTTTCCTGTTGAGAAGGAACCATGAATAAACCCAGCTTGGTTTTGAGGGGGGATGGGATGCCATTTTTTAAAATTGTGGCTTTGAATAAAAAGGTTTTTTTAATATCTTGTCTTCAGTGGGGCCACCACTATGATGTAAAGACCCTTCTAATAAAGTAACAGACTGAGAAACCTGGGCATGTGTCTGATTTCCTGCCTGATCATCAGCTGTAGCCTCGGACCAGCTTTGCTTCTAGTCTGGGTTTTGCTGACTTACAGAAACCTCCAGAGCCAGTTCTGGCATGTGAACCTTGCAAGGCTGAATTTCCAGTTCTTTAAAATAGAGCTAGTTGTTTCAGAAACACTTCTGCTGCATGCTGCAGCTCGGTGGCAATGACATTTTTGCTATGTAGCTGAAACTGGTAGACCTGAAGCGAAGCAGCAGTTGTGTGTTAAAACAGTGCTCGGCTGACCCTGCTTGGTGGAGAGGGAGTATTGCATCCTCTCATCTGAACAGTGCAAATCACTTATGTGTGGCTTTTTCTTCCTTTTTAATTAGCTTGCCTGGTTTTAACAGAAGATCTTAGACAAATGCATCATCTGCCTTGCTTTGGTGGGATAAAGATGCCTCCCTATCTGCTCCCACACTACCCTCGGCTGAGGAGTGCTTGGATCCTGGGGATTTGTGATGGGGCCAAGACACAAATCACATCTTCTCTTGTCAGTGCAAAGGGGAGATCTCTGCTTGCTCCCTTGGGTTGCTTAAAAAAACTCCCACCACCTCTGCAACCAGCCACATGGCCTGTGTGGTTTTTTCTTTTCTGCTCAGAGCTTTTTACCTGCTGGCTTAGTTATAATTTCTTTCATCCAGAGGCTCTATGCCAAGCAAGGACACATGATGCAGAAGGGCATCTTTGACATGAGCCCCCAGAGCTAATGTGTTTTTTTCCCCTTGTTTTTGGAAGGTTGCTCTGGAGTCTGCCAGCTTCTACCTTGAGTTTCATGTTGGAAATTACCTTGCTACCAGTGTCCACCCAGGTTAAGTAATACTGCAGGCTGTGAACTCAGATGGGGTGCTGAAAGGGAAAGGGAGTTGGTACTGTAAGTTGTTGCTGGTGGGGTTTTAAAGAGGCAGCACTGTGGTGAGGGACAACAGCAAAGCATGAGGGTGCCTGTGTCCTTGCTCCATGAGATAGTAAGAAATGAAGTAGCTGAGGATGCATAATTAGCCATCTCCTTCGTTTACATGTACCAGGACTACACTCTCTCCTAGGGCACATCGGTCAAAATTAGCCTCAGTCAATGTATCCCAGTGAAGGAAAGGATCTCATGGGAGTATTTAACTTCATCTGCATGTCCTTGGCAGTGCCTGAGGGGAGTTTCATCCATGAGGATACTTACATTTATAAATATATGTTGAAAGTACTTTGTATTCCAGAAATAACTGCCACTTACCATTCTGCCCTGGTGCAGTGCTGAAAACAGAGCAAATGTAAAAATCTTTCTTAATTTTTAAAAATAGAGATGACAGGCCTGAAAAGTTGCTGGTGCTGCAGCAGCTGTAGCATACTCAGCTCTCCTCATTACCTCCTCTGTGCTTTGTGTCCTGTCATGTCTGGGCTCCAGGCTCCTCTGAGCTGCCCAAAGGCTTTTGCAGCGTTCCTGCTGTGATGGGGATGATGAAACTCCCTGGGGGAAGAAAAAGCAGGGCAGGCAGGAAGACTCATTGGAGTTGGGGCTTGTGCCTAACTGCCTTCCTCCTACAGCTGCATCTGCTCTCCCTCCCTCGCTGCAGGAGGACAGCTGGAGGTGAGCACTGCTGTAGGCACCTTCTTCAAAAGTCATCTGCACTCTGTTAAGCCAAATGCTGTTGCATGTTCTCCTGATGCACTGGACACTGGTTTAATTCATCAAATGCCTAACTGTGCAGTGCTTGAGCGAGCCAAGCCTCTGCAGAGGCTGGTGGCTCTGCCTTGCTGATGGGGTTTGTTGCTGCACCTCTCCTGAGCGGGATGGGGCTGGGTGGCAGGGACACATTGCCCTGGCACCCCATCTGCCCTCACAAGCACCCACTGGGACTTCCCTGGGCCTGGTTTCCAGGCTTGCAAGGGATGCAGGGGTGACGTTTGCTGCTCTTTCTCTTGTTCACTAGATGGCATGCACACTGAAGCAGCAGCCTTGGCCTCTGGAGTTCAGCTGCTGCCTGAACAAGCACAGAACCAGAGCTGAGCTGTCCCATTGCATTGAAATGTTTGCTCACTCTTTTTCCTGTATTCGTCGTTTGCTATGGCACAGTTGTCACCAGATCTCTGATTCTCATCGGTGCTTCACTATTTTGTCTCCTGCTCCAGCATTATCCTCAGGAGCTTTCCAGGGCTCCATTACCCACTGGCACAGGTGTGCCGGGAGGGTCTCCCCTATTTGAGGGTTGAGCATCCCCTCCATGGCATCTGCTTCTCCCTGCTGTCATATCTCTGTGCAGGATGGGTGAAATCTGCTGGCAGGATGATTGTGATGGGTGGTATCCACACCACACAGCTAAAACCTGCATTACTGCTCTCAAAGCAATGGAAAATCATTCCTGGTGGTGGCTAAGAATCAGTGTAATCCAGCACTAGTGATATGGTGGGTATTCACTTCTCTGCTGGGCTTCAGCTGGGCTTCTCTGTTGTGGTAGGAGCATCATTTTTGACTAATCTTTGTGAGGGAGCATGGGAAAGATGGATGCATTTGTTCTGTACACAGAGAAGGACTGGGAACATTTAGCCACCTGGCACACAATCATAATTTTTAAATTAAAAAGCAAGCAACAATAGTGGCTTCTTTATGCCAGAATGATTGCAGATAGTGTTTCGTCTGCAGTTCAGGGCTCATGGTGGGACACTGCTTTCTCATTCTATTCTATCTCTGGCACTTGACAGACCTCAGGGACGGCCCAGCTGTGCCCAAACAGCTGGAGCCTGGTCACAGCCAAGCAGAAACCCAGTTGCACATCTGAGCTGATGGCTGGCTTTTCAGAAGTCATTTGCCCTCTTGCTTTAAATTGCTCAGCTGATCCTGACAGAGAGGGAGAACACACATGAGTTGAGGAGATCTTGACTCTTGAGTGGGTGGTGAGCTCTCCTGTGTAGTTATTTTTGTTTTGCTTAACAATACTTCAAACTTCGGTTAGGGCAGCAGGAGATGACTTGTTTATCCCAAATCTCCCCTCGGTTGCACCTGTACCCTTGTACCACCTAACCTCCTCACAGGAGGTGCTGCTGCCAGATCTCTGCTGCTCCTGCAGCCACACCACCACAGGTGTGGGCCAAGCACAGGACTCCCAGGTCAATTGCAAACCCCTCATTTGGGGTTCCTTAGCAAATTCTTGGTAGTTTCATTGATAAATTACTGAGGTGCAGTAGAGCCCAAGCCAGGTTGTACATCTCCACACCTGGCTCCCCAGTGTGCCTCTCTCTGGAGGCGGTCAGGTCAGTGTGTAAAGCTGTACCTTGCTCATCTCAACAGCTCTCGTCAGACTCATTAATTAAAAACAGGAGCCATTTTGCAGCATTAGCTGTGGTTGTCTCCAACTTCTCCTTGTTCCTGGATGCTCATAAGCTGTCAGGCTGCAGCCAGAGCCAGTGCTGCCAGGATGCAGGAGCGATGGAGTCACTTCAGCAGGTCATGGTGCTGGGGAAGCGATGCTGATCCTTAAGTGCTTCCAGTTGAATTTTGTGCAGTTGCTTGGCTCTTTGCCAGCATTTGTAGGCCTAGAGTGGGTTTATGCTGGAAGACATGGATAAAATAATCCCCTGTGTGTAACAAGCTGGCTGTCTGATACACATGCTTTATACCAGATAGAAAGTAATGGACCAAGAGCCCAACAGCATGTGGGAGCCATGGGACCACATCCAGGACAGTACACAGAAAGGAACTGGAAGGGTAAGGGTGGAAGA